CAAGGGATCCTTCCTCACCAGCCACCACCCCAACAAGCCGTGGGCATGCTGTTCAAGAGTGCTTGCCCGGCATGAACCACCACCATGCAAAGAAAATTTGAAAACTGCCTGAGGAAGGTGGATGTATCACCCTCCAAAGCTGACTTATCCGCTTGGTCTTTTGTTCGGTGGTCCAACAGAAGTACCGCCTGCTTTGGCATCTGCCTTGTCTCACACTGACTAGTGAATTCCCCAAGGGCGCCACTCAGGAGGTGGAGAGCTGCCTTCGCCCCCTTCCTTCTCTGGCATCCCCCTTCAGCTCACCCGGCTGATGCCCAGGAGCAGGTGGGGGCACCTGCCCTGCCGCCCTTCCTTTAAAAAAAAATTATTAATACAAAATAAATCTGCTACCACACACAAAACTAACAATACAAAACAATAAAATACAATTACACATGTGCTCCCATCGCCTTCAGGACTAGCATTAGACTTCATTCAATCCATTTTCACTCCAAAATTTCATTGTTTCTTCCCTCGGTGTATACCCCTTCCCTCTCCGAAATACTGTACATGTTCCAAAAATACATTCCATATTTTCTTAAAAATCATTATTTTTCAATTGGCCTCTTCTTATTTTCATATCACATGTCAGTTTATCTGCCGCCCTTCCTTCCTTCCTTCCTTCCTTGGGTGGCCCCCGACCAGGTGTGTCCAGGATCCTTGATGGGCATCTCACCACCTGGAGGGCCTCCCTCTTGGCTTCCCCCTGACACAAACCATTTATTTCCGTACAGATTCGGGTTGCAATATTTAAAATATCATCATCAGCCTCATCATTCATCTAACACCTGCAGGGCTGGGCAGATCATGGAGTCCAGCCCCCCTGTCCATGGATGATGGGGCAGCGGGGAATCGAACCCCTAACCGTGGCCCCAGAGGAAGAGAGCGGACGGAATAAAAACTATTCAACCCCATGATTATACAGTCCGACCAAAGGGAGGAAAAACAATAAGACCGCCAAGGAATCCTTCCTTACCAGATCTCATCAGGGAGGAGGAGGAGGAGGAGTAACGCCAAGAGGAGAAACGGAGGGCTTCCCTTCTGCCAGATCAAGAGGAAGCAAAGGAGCTGCTGCCTCCCCCGCCCCCAACCCAGCCTCGTTCCTCCTTTCTGGAATGTAACGCCGTTCCTTTCTGGCCAAGCCCACCGCCAAGAGTCTTTTTATGGCAAGAGGTGGGCAAACACGCGCCCCCACAGGATGGAGAAGCCCAGAGCTTGGAAACGCCTTTATATAAAAAAAAAAACTGACTACAACTCCCAGAATCCCCAGCCAGCCTGAGCACAAGGGTTGCAGTAAAAAAAATAATAATAAGGCGTCCAATTGCTGCACGGTTTGGACGCGGAACTGTTTTTTTTTCTTTCAGACTGCCATTCCCATCAACCCAGTCATTGGTCTTGGTGGCTGGGGATTCTGGGAGTTGTAGTACTGGAAAAAAAAAACCAGCGCTTTGGGGCTCCGGATATGCTCCCGCCTCAATGCTTGAGGAGGGGAGGGGAAAAAACATTAAATTTCTAAAAAGTCCGACCACCGCCTGGAAGAGAATTGGGAGTTGCACTGCGGGGTTAAAAAAGGGGTTGACTTTCCGAAGACCCCGTTCAGATTGACAGCTGTGCAGCAGGAGGGAGGGACTTGTGGGGAGGACAAACACTTCCGGGGGAGAAGCCGCCTCTTCCTTTCCTCTATTTTTTTCTCCCTCTCTAGGAATCTGGCGGGCCGGCTGTTTTTAACCCTTTCAGAGCCAAACACCAAAATCCTTTCCCTCTGTTTCTGCCACAGGAGGCCAAAGGAAAACATCAATGTGTTACACCCAAATTGCAATTATGATTATTCTTTCCCTGGGTGTGCTACTGCCACCAGCAATTACTATTTTTAAGTTTTTCCTGGATTTTTTCGGAGTATCTTTGTTAAAATAACCCATTGCTGTTTTTTTCCCCCTTCACTTGATTAGAGACAACACCAAGAAGTTGGTGTCTCTGATCAAAAGCTTCTTGTGGCAGGATGTATAAAAGGAAGGGGAAGCCATAAACGTTGAGGTGGGTGCCTGGAAGGAGCCAGCAGTGCAATCCTATACGGTATGTGTCTGCTCAGATTTTGAGGTCAATGGGCCTTATTCCCAGGTAACCATATTTACAAGACAGGAAAAGCTGCCGAACTGCTTGGTATGAAGATAGTGTTATGTAAGTACAAAATGAAATAGTCTTCTGGTTTAAAAACCTCTTGGATCAGAGAGTGTGACCAATTAAAAAACTCTTAATGACAGAAGATCCAAGAATTCAGGAATAACATGCAGAAAGGTGGAATATCTGGATCACACAATCAGAAAAATAAAATCACAGATTGTTACAGCTGGTCATTCAACATAACAATAAATGGGAAAAGCGGGAAAAGGAAGGACATCTTGGCTGAAGAACATGGATGCCGTCTGATCTGGATGGACCACGAGACATCTTTACCTGGAGCTCTGGCGTCCTCTGGTTAGAAAATAAATGAGATTATGAAGGTACCAGTGAACCAAAGGCATGGTTTTGGAAAATTCTGTGCATAGGTATTAAATATTACAGGCCCATCAGATTTTTAGACATGGAAGTGACCCTGGAGATGATGGTGACCAAGCCACTGCCAGATGAGGAAAACTAGAAGCGTCCTCCAACCTGTGGCAACATTGTGGCTGAGTGACCTCCATGTAAACTCAAGCCTGCGGTTTTGTGTATGGAGTCTATCAATCACATATTTGTTATCTTTTCCGTTCAGTCCCGGCTCCTCATGTTGTGGCCCAAATCACATAGCTTCAGTTTGATCATTTTTGCTTCTAGGGAAGAGTTCCAGCTTTGTTCGATCAAATTCATAATTGTGTGCCATCAAGTCAATGTTGACGTATGGTGACCCTTCCAGAGTTTTCTAGGTAGAGAGCAGTCAGTGGTTTCCCATCCCCTTCTTCCAGGGACATTCTTGGCAAGATACACAGTGCTGTTTCTTCTACAAGGTACAGTGAAAAATTAAAATGACAACTTCTGGCTCTGCGACCAGGTTCCTAAGTTACCCCAACCTATTTATAATTGAACCTCCTCTCAACTTCCCTTCATCCCCTGCTTGAATTCTTGGATGATCCTCCCGTTTCTCATGAATGCACCATTTTGTCTGCTGGAAAAGGAAAATTTAAGGGAAGGCCCTACAATACAGACTGATAAGGAGAGTTTTAGGTTTTTACAAGACTCCTAAGCCCTTTGCCGGCATTGAGAATTTTGGTAAATAGAGTCAAATGTTCATGGTCTGGTCTGGTCCTACACGTGAAGTGCAATGAGTCTCAAGGGAGAGAGCACCTTTCTACATGCAGGGTCTCCATGAGAATCAAGACCCCAATTGCATGGAAAGGCCCCATCGCCTGCAGACACTATCCTTTCCCAGACTCATGATCACCTCCCTCTGTGGGAGGGAACTAGAATTTATGTTGCAGGATGGAATTTATAGGGGTTCCCTCTAGAAGGAGGAAGTATTGATCGTGATTCTCAGAATGTGATCAGGGCTCTGAATGGATGGAAATCCCTCAAAGGAAGACAAAATAACACTCTTTTATACATAGTATCTTTCACAGTTGGAGAACGGGTAGCCGTGTTATCCTGTGCAAGCATGATAGGTGAAAACAAAATGAAAACAAAAAGTTTAAAAAAAGAGTCAGAAATCCTAAAGACTAACTTTTATATTTTTGATGTTAGCTGTGTGGACAAACCCACTTTACTTTTTATTTTTGTTTTCACCTATAATGCTTTTTGTTTTTTGACCAAACTCCAGGAGGCAGTGGAGGACAGGAGGGCCCGGCGTGCTCTGGTCCATGGAGTCACAAAGAGTCGAACACGACTAAACAACAACAACATAATGCTTTTATATACACAGACTGAAATCCTGCACTCCGTGTTGTGTAACCTTACACCACCCACACATTGAAGGAGTTTATATAGTCAAGCAGAATTTGAACACCCGTCTCTTGAGCCCAAATCTGACACTTTCCACACTATACCACTGGGTTTTTATCTTACAGAAGTTCATGCCAAGCCTACACTCTTCCTTTCATTGTTCCCGTAATAGTACCAGTGGAGATACGAAGCAGAAATGAAAAGAACAGAGAGATAAAAAGAAAAACAACAAAGCCATGAGGCTCAACATCCTTCACCCATGAATCAAAACTGCTAAATTGATCACCTTTTAATCAATATCTGGAATTCCATCAGCAAAATTTGTCTCCTGGCCAGGTGAATGCAACAAATACTCTGATCCTTTGGGTAATTTCTCTTGTTTCTTTCCAGCGTGAGTGCTTGACAATGAAATGGTCTCTTAGTGTGGACTCTGAGATGTTTACTCAGCCTGTCATCTGAACGGAAGCTTTCCCCACACGCCATGTATTTTAAAGGCTTCTGTCCTCCATGAGTCCTTTGACGGAAATTAAGGTGATGCCTTTGATTGAAGCTGTTTTCCTACTCCAGGCGTTTACAATGCTCCTTCTGCAATCCGGACACGTAAAGGGTTTCTTCCCCTGTGTGGGTGCGCTTATGTTTAATAAGATGTCCCACAAATGAAGCTTTTTCGATACTCCAAACATTTATGTGGTTTCTCCCCAGTGTGTATTCTTTCATGGGAAATGAAGCCACGTTTATTTCTGAAGTTCTTCCCAGACTCTTGGCATTCAAAAGGTTTTTCACCTCTGTGGACTGTATGATGTGAAGAAAGGATTTCATTCAGACGCAAACACTTTCCACGTTTAGTGTATTTAAATGGCTTCTCCCCGAGGGCATGCTTTCATGGGATGTAAGATGTTCTCTCCCCTTCACAGATTGCTGCCTTGTCCTGGCGAAGGGGCTTGGTTATTCAGAGGAGCTATGGGCTATGCCGTGCAGGGACACCCAAGACGGACAGGTCATAGTGGAAAGTTCTGACTAAACGCGATCCCCCTGAAGGAGGAACTGGCAAGCCACTCCAGTATCATTGCCAAGAATACCCCATGAACAAAAGGATAAAAGATATGATGCTGGAAGATGAGCCCCTCAGGTTGGAAGGCGTCCAACATGCTACTGAGGAAGAGCGGAGGACAAGGACAAGTATCTCTGGAGTTAATGAAGTGGTTGGGCCTTAAATGAACAGTGCAAAGAAATAGAAGAAAATAATAGAAAGGGAAAAAACTGTTCAAGAAAATTGGAGATATTAAAGGAACATTTTGTGCAAAGATGGACATGATAAAGGACAAAAATAGTAGCGACCGTACAGAAGCAGAAGACATCAAGAAGAGGTGGCAAGAATACACAGAGGAATTATACCAGAAGGATCTGGATGTCCCGAAAAACCCAGATAGTATGGTTGCTGACCTTGAGCCAGACATCCTGGAGAGTGAAGTCAAATGGGACTTAGAGCATGGCTAACAACAAGGCCAGTGGAGGTGATGGCATTCCAGTTGAACTATTTAAAATCTAAAAAAGATGACACTTTTATGGTGCTACACTCAATATGCCAGCAAGTTTGGAAAACTTAACAGTGGCCAGAGGATTGGAAAAGATTGGTCTACATCCCAATCCCAAAGAAGGGCAGTGCCAAAGAATGCTCCAACTACCGTACAACTGTACTCATTTCACACGCTAGCAAGGTTATCCTCAAAATCCTCCAAGGTAGGCTTCAGCACTATGTGGAGTGAGAACTCTCAGAAGTACAAGCTGGATTTTGAAGTGTCAGAGGAACTGGAGACCAAATTACTAACATGCTCTGGATTATGGAGAAAGCCAGAGAGTTCCACAAAAACATCTACTTCTGCTTCATTGATTATGCAAAAGCCTTTGACTGCGTGGACCACAGCAAACTATGGCAAGTCCTTAAAGAAATGGGAGTGCCTGATCACCTTATCTGTCTCCTGAGAAATCTGTATGTGGTACAGGAGGCAACAGTTAGAATTGAACATGGAACAACTGATTGGTTCAAATTTTTAAAGGAGTACGACAAGGCTGGATATTTCCTCCCGGCTTAACTTATATGCAGAATACATCATGTGAAAGGCTGGACTGGAGGAATCCCAAGCTGAAATTCAGATTGCCGGAAGAAATATCGACAACCTCAGGATATGCAGATGATACCACTCTGATGGCAGAAAGTGAGGAGGAATTAAAGAACCTTGTAATGAGGGTGAAAGAGGAGAGTGCAAAAGACGGTCTGAAACTCAACATCAAAAAAACTAAGATCATGGCCACTGGTCCCATCACCTCCTGGAAAATAGAACGGAAAGATATGAAGGCAGTGACAGATTTTACTTTCTTGGGCTCCATGATCACTGCAGATGGTTACAGCAGCCATGAAATTAAAATACACCTGCTTCTTGGGAGGAAAGCAATGACAAACCTAGACAGCATCTTAAAAAGGAGAGACATAACCTTGCCGAAAGGTCCACAGAGTCAAAGCTATGGTTTTTCCAGTAGCAATGTATGGAAGTGAGAGCTGGACCATAAAGAAAGCTGACCGCCGAAGAATTGATGCTTTTGAATTGTGGTGCTGGAGGAGACCTCCAGGAGAGTTCCCCTGGACTGCAAGAAGAACAAACCTATCCATTCTAAAGGAAATCAAGCCTGAGTGCTCACTGGAAGAACAGATCCTGAAGCTGAGGCTCCAGTACTTTGGCCATCTCATGAGAAGAGAAGACTCCCTGGAAAAGACCCTGATGTTGGGAAATGTGAAGGCAAGAGGAGAAGGGGACGACAGAGGACGAGATGGTTGGACAGCATCATAGAAGCTACCAATATGAATTTGATCCAACTCCGGGAGGCAGTGGAAGACAGGAGGGCCTGGCATGCCCTGATCCATGGGGTCACGAAGAGCTGGACACGACTTAATGACTAAAGAAGATGTTCTCTGGGTCTAAAGGTTGTCCCACACTCCAGGCATTCAAATGGCTTCTTTTCTGTACATCTGGTTTGATGGCTAATGAGGAAATTTTCCCCCATCTAAAGGCTTTGTCATTTTCCTTGAATTCAAACGGTTTCTCCATTATGTGCACTGTACACTGTGAAACATGGTCTCCACTGGGGTGGGAGGCCCCTCTGCGCTCCTAACATTCAAAAGGCTTCTTACGTGTGTGGGTACTTAGGTGTCTAGCAAGGTTTGCACGTCGACTGAAGCATTTCCCACACTCCAGACATTCAAAGGGCTTCTCTCCTGAGTGAATTCTTTCATGGGATGTAAGATCTGCTCTCACTCTAAAGGTTCTGCCACATTCTAGGCATTCAAAGGGCTTCTCGCCTGTGTGGGTCCTGTGATGTCTTGTAAAACTTCCAGACTGACTGAAACTCTTTCCACACTCCAGGCATGTAAAGGGCTTCTCCCCTGAGTGAATTCGTTCGTGGGTTATAAGATGTGCTCTTAATCGAAAGGTTTTGCCACACTCCAAGCATTCAAAGGGCTTTTCGCCGGTGTGGGTCCTGTGATGTCTAGCAAGGTCTCCATGATCACTGAAGCTTTTTCCGCACTCCAGACACTGAAATGGCTTCTCTCCCGAGTGGATCCTTCCGTGATTTTTGAGATGCGCCCTCAGCCCAAAACTTTTCCCACACTCCAGGCATTCAAAGGGCTTTTCGCCTCCATGGATCCTATGGTGGGTAGCAAGGTGGGCACGTTGACTGAAACTCTTACCACACTCCAGGCATTTATATGGTTTCTCGCCTGTGTGGGCTCTGTGATGCTTCGTGAGGTGGGCACGTTGACTGAAACTCTTTCCGCACTGCAGGCATTCAAAGGGCTTCTCCCCTGTGTGGGACCTGAGGTGCGTAGCAAGGTTTGCAGACTGAGCAAAATTTTTTCCACATTCCAGGCACGTGAACAGTTTCTCTCCTTTGTGAAGTTTCCTATGGCAACTGAGCGTTGACGCGTGAGCAAAGGTTTTCCCGCACTCGGGGCACTCATGGCTTCGCTCTCTGGATGTTTTCTGATAAAACTGGACTTCCTCTGAATGAGCAATAGGTTTGTCCATCTTCTCATCCACTTCTTTTCCTCCCAGCTGTTTCATTCTGTCTTGATTCTCAACATCCTCTTCCACATCTGAACATGTGTTCCTTTCCTCTGGCACTTGATATCCTTCTCTTTCATTGCTTCTCTCTGCCATTTTTCTGTTAAAAAGAGGCAATAAATGAGAGAGAAAAACAGATTTTAAAAAAAATCAAGTATCAAACTCCTGTGAACTGCTATGGAGGATGCAGAAGAAAACAAAAATCCAGATGCTGAGGGAAAGCAAAGACAGGATTTATCACTCGCCTCTCAACTGGATAGAGATGGGACAAGCTATTCCACCCCTTTTCCTGACATAATGTCTGTGACCTTCTGTGAGGAAATGGTGGTTTTCCATGCTGGGAACACACTGGTGAAATCCAGAGTTAAAAACAGATGCTGGTTATTTTCATAACCTTCATAAAATATCACTCTAGATCTCTTTCATGGAAGGTTGCAGGGTGAAAAGAGACATGTTTTAATGATTAATTTATTTTATTTATTTAGAATATTTTTATCCTGCCTTTCTCCTTAAAAAGGACCCAAGGAGGCTTACATCATTAAAAAGACAATATTTAAAAGCTAGAAACAGCTCTTCTGTTTATCTACTGTCCAGTCTCTCTCACTTTGTCTGCCTGTCTTATAAAGGGCCACAGGAGGATCGATCGATCGATCGATCGATCGATCGATCGATCATTCATTCATTCATTCATTCATTCATTCATTCATTCATTCATTCATACCCTGCCCATTTAGACCACATCTACTCTGGGCAGCTTACAATAAAAATAGCATAAAAGCAATTAAAAACCAGCAGTTTAAAACAACAATTATAATATCATTCAAGTTCTGATAACACAAACACACACACAAACGATCTGTTATTATAAGCCTTTAATTGCTATTGCTCATGCAAAGTGCACCTCTTGAAGTGAAAAGCTAACATCCTGTCTCACCAACGGAGAAATATAAGAGCCATTTATATTTGATTTCCAGTGTAAGTCAAAGGGACGATGCATCAGATTCAGAAGGGAAATGGAGGCTGATGGAAAGCACCATCAGAAACATACTATTTCTCCTGGCTTTTATTATATTACCTCTATTGATGGTGGCTAGAATAGTATGGGCTCAATACTGGAAAAATGAGAAATCTCTGTTAGAAGAAATAATTGTGCAAAAAATCTTAGATTATGCTCAGATGGATAGATTGACAATGACAATTAAAGGGAAAGAGGATTCAGAATATTATCAAAACTGGAATAAAATGTATGAGTGGCTAGAGCCAAGAAATAAGGTATAGAGACAAATGAGACATGATATGATATGAACAATTTGATGTTTATCCAGGGAACAGGACGAATGACAATGGAAATATGTTTTTATGTGTTATAAAAAAAAATAAAAAAAGAAACATACTATTATTTATCCTGGCTTTTGTCACAGAGGATAAGCCATGAGGGACCCACCTCCCTCTCCCAAGGTTGTGCTGGCACCACTCAGCATCTGCCACTTGGAGCAACTGCTCACCGTGCCTAATGCCAGGCCCGGCCCTGAGTCGAATCCTTGATTGACCCTAACAATGGTTGATCTGATGGTTGTTGAGGGTTTTCCGGGCTCTTTGGCCATGTCCTGAAGGTTGTTCTTCCTAATATTTCGCCAGTCTCTGTGGCCGGCATCTTCAGAGGACAGGAGTCAGATCATCAGAGCATGGACAGACTTCCGACTCCAGTCCTCTGAAGATGCCAGCCACAAAGACTGGCGAAACGTTAGGAAGGACAACCTTCAGAACACGGCCAAAGAGCCCGAAAAAAACACAACGACCATCAGATCCTGGATGTGCAAGCCTTGAAGAATACACTGGTTGATCTGTTTGATGGTCCCTGTGTTTTGCAACAACTGTCTTCCATCTTCTCTTACATAAGTTTTAGAGCAAAATATGGAATTACATTTCAAACTTTTGGGCTTCCAAGGCACCTCTTTTCCAATTCCTGGCTTCATCTTCCTAGGGAAGAGGATCATTGGGGTGGGGGGGGGAGAAGTACCCTTCCCTCCTCCCCCAGAGACTCCTCCAGCTCCTCCCAGCTGCTCCCCAGTAAAAGGTGTGTGTGTGGGGGAGACACTTAAATCTCAGGGCCCTCCCCAGTGATCCTCCCTTCTGTCTTGGGTGGCCCTGCCAGGCATCCAGGCTCATGATGGGAATCTCACCCTCCGGAGATCAGGCCTTGATCTGGGCTTCTCTGATGTAGGCTCAAACAATCATCATCATCCACTCATCATCATCACCACTACCTTAAAGGTTGTTATATATGTCTATATAAAAACATTTTTCTAAGGTTTCTGCTTACAGGAGTATTTAAACATGGATACACACATACCTATATATATATACCCGGCCCAGAGAATACGAGATTAAAACAATGAAAAACCATTTCAAAGCAAATTAAATTTTTTTAAAAATCTGAAGACAGCAGGGCATCCTTACCAGATCTCGAGGAGGAGCAAAGCCAAGAGGAGAAAAGGGACGGCGTTCCTCTGCCAGGGAAAGAGAAGGAAATGGCTCTGCAGAGGAGCTGCCTTTGCTCTTCTTTATTCCCCTACTACAACTCCCAGAATCCCCAGCCAGCGAGACCACCGGTATTGTAGTCCCAAAAGAAAAGGTCTCCCAAGATCTTTATACGTCCCTCCAACGGTTTGGGCACGTTAATTATTTTTTTTCTTTTTGTTCAGACTGCAACTCCCATCAACCCTGTCAATGGCCCTGCTGGCTGGGGATTCTGGGAGTGGTAGTATTTAAGAAAAATATAACTTTTTCCGCGCTGGATAAATTCTCCCATCGGGAAGATTAGAAAAAGGATCAGATAAAAGTCAGATAAGGAGTTAGGCCGCAGTTCGCCAAAGCCTAACGAGCCCCTGGAAGAAGATGGGAGTTGTAGTCCAGAAGACAAAATGTGTTTCCAAAATCCCCCCTTCAGATCGGAACAGGAGAGGGGAGCGAATTGTAGGGAGGAACATTTCCGATGAAAGAGACCGCCTCTTCCTTTTTACGTATTTCCTCCCTCTCTAGGAATCTCGCATTCTGCTGCTTTTAACCTTTTCGGAGCCAAATATCTGCTTCATTCACAGAGATTTCTGTAGAAAACTTCATTGCGTTGTACACAAATTATACTTTCCCTGGATGCTACTCTTGCCAATAACTGCTTTTAACACACAAACACCCCAGAATTTATAGAATATTTTTTGTGAATAAAATTACTACCCATTTTGTGTGGCTTCAAATCCATATCCGGGCACAATTTAAAGTGCTGATTCTAATTTATCAAGCCCCAAATGGCTTCAGTCCAAACTATCTCAAGGACCCATCTCCCTTCATGAGCATGCTCAAGTGTTACGATCAGGAGAGCCCTTTCCCTCAGTGTTTGGTGAGGGCACAGGTGAGGGCCTTCTCTGTGGCTGCTCTCAGAATCTGGAACTCCCTGCCACTGGACACTAGGCTGGCCCCTTCTTTGCTGCCCTTCTGCAAACAGGCAAATACCTTTCTCTTCAGGCATGCTTCCCTTGAGTGGCTGGCTGCCTGAGTGGGGTTTTTTAAATGGATTGTTTTACCTTACTACTTTGAATATGTCTTGCTATTGCTTATCTTTTTTTGTATTTATATACTCACTGATGTTAGCTTTAATACTGTCTTAAGCCATCTTCAGTCCTTTTAAGGGGAAAGACGGGGTAAAAATATTTTAAATAAATATTCCGCCCCCTCCCCCTTAACCTGACTGTAAATAACACAAAGAAGCTGGTCTCGCTGATCAAGCTGTTTGTGGCAGGTGGTTCAAAATATCGGACGGAGGGCATTAAAATTTTAGGTGGGTTCCTGGGAGAAACCAGCAGTGCAATCTGTACGACTCCACTCAGATGTAAGATCCTTGGAGGTGAATGGGTGTGTATAGGATTGCAGCACAAGTTCTTAAAGAAAAATGGAAAAGATCAGCTGCCCATCTTTTTGGAAATGAAAATAGGGTATTTACATGAAAAATAAAATATTCTCCTGGCTTAATACATTCTTGGATTTAGACAAGTGACCAGCTGAAAAAGTCCTAAAACGAGAGAGTAAATTCCAATAATTCCGAAATCATTCAACCTAATCCATAACTGTGTATCATCAAACGAATGTGACTTATGATAATCGTTTCCAGATAGTATTGGGAAGTGGTTTTCCATTCCCTTCTTCTGGGGACATCCTGGGACTGTGCAGCTTACCCAAGGCTAAACGGGCTGACTTTTCTCCAAGGAGTCACAATGAGGAATCAAACTCCCAACCTCTGGCTCTACAATTGGCTACTTTCTGAGTGATCCCAACCCACTTATTGGAGCCCCCTTGCTTCTGCCCATCCCCTGCTTGGATTCTTTGACACCCCATCTGGTTTTCTTCGTGATTATACCAAGTACTTGTCAGCTGGAAAAGCAAAACCAAAGGGAAGAAAGGCTGATGCACCCACCTTGATCCATCCTCTGCAGAATTTTAGACATCTCCATCACGTGCCCCCCTCAGGTGCCTTTCCTCTAAACCAGTGGTTCTTAACGTGGTCAATAATGCTCCCCAGGGGGCGATTTCATTTTTCAGGGGGGCGGTAGAACGAAAAGAG